TCACACAGGGATTTTGAAGGGATTTCTTCAGGTTGGAGCTGATAAGCAGCCTTGGCAGTTCTTTGCGTCGTCAGAACAGGGACACCCCTGCAGCTGAAACAAAGCTCTCTGTTCTGGGGTGGTCACTGCCGGCCGTGCCAGGCTGCTGCCACATGGTGCCATAGATGGTGGTGGGGGAGGGAAGGGGGTGGCTGTGTGTGAGATGGGTGTATTCATGCATCTCTGATTAAACACAGTCACTGATATGTTTTTTTTTCCCTGCCACGTTTAGATACAATCACGGACAACGCAGAACGAAGTAAGTGAAGCACACACAGTCCGTTCACCTCTTTATGTTACCAATAAGTGTCTAATAATCTCCGCCGGAGACTTAACCTGACTGAGTCATCTGATGGACAGAATTCAACATGGCTGCCACAGCCAACCAACTTTTGGAACTACAAAAGTGACCTAAATTTCAGAGCGATAGTAGCTGAGAGTCATTCACAACACATACTCTGAGCTCTACTGCATGTTTTTGTTTTTAAAGCTTTAGCATTACCTGTTGGCATCAACACTGTCTATTAGCAAAATATCTCATGAACCACCGGAAGGACTTAAATTGAACTCTCAAAGTAACTGGAGTCACTCCTATTCAAGATGGCTGCCACTGCTAAGTGACATTAGCCAAAACAAAAATAATTATAGATCTATCAGACAGATAGTGAGTTAAACTCTGATGTGTTAGTAGATGAGAGTCATCCTCAACACATACTTTGAGAACTAACACACATTGCATGAGATCACGCATAATGTCATTTACTGTCATTTAATGTCATTTGATGTGGTCCCCCCTCGACTACTAAAGGAGGTTTTTCCAACTCTAGGTCCGTCCATTCTGGCTATAGTAAACAGTAGTTTATCCACTGGCGTGGTGCCAAAATCCTTTAAACATGCTGCCGTCCAGCCTCTCCTGAAAAAACCAAACCTTGACCCCTCAGTCGTGTCCAACTTCCGGCCTGTCTCCAAACTCCCATTTGTTTCTAAAGTACTAGAGAAAATAGTCGAGTCCCAGTTGAAGTGCTTCCTGGAGGATCACTCCATCTTAGAGCTTTTCCAATCTGGCTTTAAACCTCTCCACAGCACTGAAACTGCCCTGCTGAAGGTGTTTAACAACATCTTCAGATTCACAGATACCGGTGATTCTGTGCTGCTTGTCCTGTTGGACCTCACAGCCGCCTTTGACACCATCGACCATGAGATCCTCATTGCTAGGTTGGAGCAGTGGGTGGGCGTTACAGGATCAGCCCTCAATTGGTTCAGATCTTACCTCGTTGACAGATCCTTTTGTGTCTCCATCAAGGATTTTAGTTCCGCAGAGGCAAAGCTTAAATGGGGGGTTCTGCAGGGGTCCATCCTGGGTCCCCTCCTATTCTCTTCATACCTGCTGCCGCTTGGTGCTATTTTCCGGAAACACAACATGCCCTTCCACTTCTATGCCGATGACTGTCAAATTTACTTCCCCCTAAGACACAATGGTACATGCTCTATTCAACCGCTGCTCAACTGCCTGGCTGACATCAGGGACTGGATGGCTTTAAATTTCTTGAGTTTCAATGAAAAGAAGTCTGAAGTCTTGTTGTTCCCTCCCAACAACACGATCACAAACCACTGTATCGACCTCTCCGCTCTAACCCTGTCATAAAAACAAAGAGTCACTAATCTGGGCGTGATAATGGACCCTTCCCTGAAACTTAACAATCATGTAAACATGATTGTTAAATCATGCTTCTTCCAACTGAGGCGGCTGTGTAAACTGAAGCCCATATTGTCCAAAAATAACCTGGAGACAGTAATACATGCATTCATTACATCTAGGCTTGATTACTGCAATTCACTCCTGTTTGGTATCAGTCAGACCTCCATTGCACGACTACAACTGGTCCAGAATGCAGCAGCCCGATTTTTAACCAGTACAGGCAAAAGAGAGCACATTACACCAGTTTTGGCCTCACTGCACTGGTTACCAGTTCACCTTAGAATCCAGTTCAAAATACTCATGTATGTCTACAAATCACTGAACAGTCCCCCCCGCCCCCATCTCTCTGATTTGCTACAACCGTATGTCCCACCACGCTCCCTGAGGTCAGCGGACCAGTTGCTCCTCACAGTTCCAGGAACTCGTCTTGACAGGCCCCCTCCCTCTCGGTTTTCAAGTCCCGCTTAAAAACTCACTACTATTCAGTAGCTTTCAACACCAGATGATCTGTGTCTTGAACCTGTATGCTCCACACTAGTTTGTCGTCATCTGCATCGTTTTTATGTCTATATTCTGATTTACCTCATTTTGTATTTTGCTTTGTGTGTTACCTGTTGTTTTGTCTGTACATCACTTTGGTTGGCCTTGTAGCTGTTTTAAGTGCTTTATAAATAAAGTGGTATGGTATGGTATTTACAAGATTTAACCAGAACAGCTAGAGCTCCGCCCCTTTTCGTTATGTCATCTTACTTTAAAACTGTGGTGTGAAACGGGGCGGGTGATATGCATTCCTTCAAGGAAGGCTATGCCTTCAATTCATTTCATGTAATAGTTTAGATTTTTTGAACTGGTCGTTCAAAAAGCTATTTACAGCAGGTAAAATATTAACTGCTCGTAACCTTTCCGCAGAATCCCACTTCAAATTACGTGAATTAAAGCTTTATTATTTCATAGATAGAAATACATCAGAGGTGTCTGTTCCATCTGAAATTAATCTGTTTGTTTTTTTCTTAACAGTCAGCTATCTGGTCATCTTTCACACATTCCTCACCATCTTTATGTGGTCATACTGGAAAACCATCTGGTCCAAACCAACCAGTCCCTCAGTCGCAGTAAGCCAACAGTCTTACCATGAACTCACTTTATGTGTAGTGAGAAAAAATGGCTAATATATTGCAATATTTAACTCCATTTATTGGTTCCTCTCCTGTTAGTTCGCTCTGCCCGACGCAGACAAGGAGCTGTACGAGAAGGAGCAGCGAGCAGAGGCGCAGCAGGACATTCTGAAGAGGGTGGCCAAGAATTTACCCGTGTACACACGCACAGCTGGAGGAGGTGAGGCGTTAACCTCAGCAGTGACTGTAGCTGGCTGTCTTTTTGTCCTACGTTGCAGAGCGAAGAGGGGACTTCAAAATACCCTCTGTCTGCCCCTTCGGTTAATCTTGTGAGCTAGATAACTTGAAGAATTAAGTGAAGTGACGACTTCTGTTTTAGTAAATGGCTGCATCTAGGTGTAAGATAAGTTCCTATCAAAAATTGGGTTGCTGCATCAAAATTCACAATGGCTCCTGTCATATATGTACTGTATATGTACATCAGCCACCCCAGTCATTTAAGGAAACTATGCTTTTTAGTTTTATATTGCTTAAAAGTTTAGTTCCCTCAAATGATTGGGGTAGCCAAGATGAATCTATGAGGGTCAAGGCCACCATTGGCCACTCTCTGGCTCCACCATTGCACCTGATGGTGGATAAAATTGCTCCCTCCACCCACCAGGAATCATCACCCTTCCTCTGTTCTTCTCCACAGTGTAACACCTTCCCACTTGAATATCTTGCACCAAAAACATTTAGGTTTACTTATATTCTCTGTTCAAATCCAGTCCAGAAAGCACTCCTCTAAAACTACAAACGTTCACTATTCAAGTCCCTCAGTGACAGGGGACATGGGCGTACTGCTTGTTTTACTTTAAGTAGGTCTCTGTTGACTAACTAATACAGAAACCAGGCAGAGACACTTCCTCCATTGTTTGATCTGTTTGTCACAAATGTGTAACACGACACCAGCCGACACAGGAACATTGCATGAATATGCTGTTGTATTTTATCTTCCCTTTTTGCACGATAGTGCAGAAAATCTCAATTAAAATATGTTGTTTCTCAATCAAACCGGTCTGACTTCTGTTCATGGAGTAAGAAACGTGTTACTCTTTCTGTTGTATGTCACATGATGCAGGAAAATGTGCATATAATAGTTAAAAATATAAAAATTGTGGTTTCAGCTTTAAAACAAACCCATACACCTCATGCTCTTTTTATTGAATTATCAGTTGCTGTCGTACATGAAGCCACTTTAATTATTCTGCTTGTTGTTTTCTCTGTAAACAGCCGTCAGATACTGTGACTACTGTCAGGTAATCAAACCTGACCGCTGCCATCACTGCTCCACCTGTGAAATGTGAGTCTGACTCAAACACAACAGCTGTATCTAAAAAAGTTAAATCTGGTCCTCTGGACATTCAAAAAAACAAAACAAAGCAAAACAACAAAAAAATGTAGAAACGTTTCGTCTCTTATCCGAGAGACTTTCTCAGTCTGAGGTGCTGTATTCAGCTCAGTCTCTTAAATAGCACCTTCTCAGAGTGGATCAACCAGTTT